GGAGCGGCCACTGCACTCCAGTCTGGGCAACAGAGTGAGACTCCAACTCAAAAAATAAATATATATTAGCCTTTAATATATTATTTTGCTTATAGGCTTTATGTTCAAATATTGAAGGAACAAATGATAATGGGTAATACAATTTTCCTCCAAAAGGACACAGAAGGCAGCCTTCAGATAAATGAATCAGAAGGGAAGGAATAAAATCCAGCAACTAGTCAGCATTTACTGTGTATTTTATTCTCACCTCTCGCTCCACATTTAGGTCACTCACCAGATTCTGTCTCCTTTTAGAGCTTTCACGGAAGACTTCAGTCTTCACCCGATACTTCTTTAGCCAAAAATTGATACTTTCTCCAAAAATCCATTCCATTATTTGTAAACCAAGATGTCCTATGTAATTCAGAAGAACTCGACTAAATGGCTAGTGTGTCCTTCGGAAACATTTTTTTTTTTTGAGTCGGGGTGTCACTGTCACCCAGGATAGAGTATATGAGGAAGGATCCCCCCAAAAACAGAATTGTCTTTTGGAGAGCAGGCCCCTTACAATACAGGCTTCTCCCCTAGGTAATTTTTCTAGGAACGCGGCAGCGTCAGTGTACCAGCTAGCATTGCTGTGAGAGACTGTGTTTGGCTTCAGTGAATTTTGGGGGGGAGATTGTTTCAGCACGTTTGCCCATTTCATGACATGATTTACAAGAGCACCTGCCCACACCACACTGTTCAGCAATTTTTGACTAAAAGTGGCATTGCCCCCAAAAGTGCCATGCCCCATCCTCCCTATCCACCTGATCTTACTCCGAGCAACTTTTTTTTGATGCCCTGGATTTTAAAAAGTCCTCAAAGGGAAATTTTTTGCTGATTTGAAAGAAGTGAAACAAAAAATGGCAGAAGCACTAGAAGGCATCAAAATCGACAAGTTCAAAAACTAATAAATTCTGTATTTCAGGGGGATCCCCCTTTATAGTAGCACACTCATGGCTTATCGCAGCCACGACTTCCTGGGATCAGGCGATCCTTTCACCTCAGCCTCCCAAGTAGCTGGGACTATAGACATGTACTTTCATGCCTGGCTAATTTTTTGATATTTTGTAGAGACAGAGTCTCAATATGTTGTCCAGATTGGTCTCAAACTCCTAGGCTCAAGCAAGCCTCCCACCTCAGCCTCCTAAAGTGCTGAGATTACAAGCGTGAGCCATCATGCCTGACCCAGAAGCCATTTAATTATTTTCTCCCTATACCTTTCACTGTTTGGTACTGGTGGGGAAAGAAGGTATGGTGAGAAACCTATATTGCTAGGTAGAATTTCAACTTGTACTTTGGTGGCAATTCTGAAATACTTGTATATAGTTTGTGGCAGTTGTTCAATAATAAATTCAAAAGTAGTTCTGAAATCTTAAAACCTAATTGTTCCCAACATTGAGATAAACAAATATGATACTCTTCGACATAAATCAACATGATGATTCTGTCACCTATAAACACATTCCTTTTGGTTTTTTCACAGCTTGGTGCTTTTAGATATATTAGGTTGCAAAATTAGGCATTATTGATTTCTCCCTACTTATGTGTAAATCCTATGTTCCAAAGCTTCACCGGAAATTTTTTATTTCTCTCATATACACGAGTCTTTCAGAAAGAAAAGCTTTCTCGGCAACATAGTATTTCATATTTAGACAAAATTGTTATATTTAGACAATAGCATCTTGACAGTAGTATGTAGACAAAACAATTTTCAGCACTGCTTAGAAAGAAGAATTTCAGTATTTCCTGAGAAGAAGTATTATACATAAAGAAAGGTGACAACCTCTTCCTGGACAAGAAAGAGACAAGTGGAGTGGTGACAACTGGTTTAGGGAACACTGGAGGAGACCATGGCATCTTCCACACTGCTCTCATCAGCTCCTCCATCAGTGAGCATCCCACTGCATTATGGCCTCTTGTAGAACATGAGTCTACAAAGAGTAGTCAGTCTCTTATGTTATATAAAGTATAGCTTCCTCTCTTTTGTCTCTATACTACATCATTTAACTTTTACAGATTTAAAAAAACACTGTTAGACAAAGCAAATTTGAACTTTGAAAATTCTTTATAATTTTTTAAAGTAGCAATGTGCCTGCTATCAAATTAACTAACAGCTTTTTAAATGGATTTTCATGAGCCCTTGGAAAAGAAACATAATCATCAGGAGCCAGCATGGGTCTCCCCACACTAGGAAATCACACATGACAGACAATACCCATTTGTCTTTGAAGCATGTGAGAGACATAGCCTGCCAGAAGTTCAGCAAGGTGCGTGACAGAAACCTCATGCTAACTTTTTGAAAAGAGTCCTAGATGAGTTTTCCCAAAGGTAAGCCTTAGGATACAGATTTGGGTGGATCTAGTGTATTTGGGAAATGATTTCAGGGAATCCTGTGGCAGGCTGAGGAATTGAGACAATTGAAAGAATCACAACTATGGGCAACTGGAGCTCAATCCTGCTAGAGATCCTCTGAGACACTGTATGGAAAGCATCTCTGAATTCTTCTACAGAGGGGCAAAGTAGCTGAGATCATTATCCACTACTTTGCGTCCCTCACTGGATGAGGATCAATCCTGAGGTATGAATTCCCTGCAATGTCCAGTCTGCCTGTATGTGGACCAAGTTTACCCTCTTAAGCAGAGAATACCCTCAGGCAAAGAGACTTGAGAAGCCAAGTATGGGAACAGTTTGCAGTGACTGTTAATGGGTACTGGATTTCTTTTTTTTTTTTTTTTTTTTGAGTCGGAGTCTCACTCTGTCTCCCAGGCCGGAGTGCAGTGGCCACCATAGCCTCAACCTGCTGGGCTCCGGCGATCCTTCCAACTCAGCCTTCCAAGTAGCTGGAACTACAGGTGCCACCATGCCCGGCTAATTTCTGATTTCTTGTAAAGATGAGGTCTCACCAAGTTGCCCGGGCTGGTCTTGAACCCGTGGGCTCAGACAATCCTCTCACCTTGGCCTCCCAAAGTGTGGGATTATAGGCATGAGCCATCACACCCAGCCTTGGATTTCTTTTTGAAGGGATGAAATATTTTAGAAGTAGATAGTGGCAGTGGTTGTATAACTTTGTGATTATATTAAAATGACTGAATTATATACTTTAAATGGATGAATTTTATATATGAATTATATATCAGTTAAAAAAGAAAAGAAAACCTCTAGGCGTAAATCAAAGGAATATATTGAAGTAGCTGCCAGCATCTCTTGCAGTCCACCCACCATTCCGCCTTATATCAATTTATGTCTCATGTTCCGTTTACTTTACCTCAAAGACAGTGACTAGTCACAATATTTTCAAAACAATGAATTAAAAAGGGAAAACATCAGCAAAAAGGTTAATGGGACAAGCTATATCCTCACTGTTGCAAATTGGTCCTGAAACCATACTTAACATGTGTTATCTCCTTCTTTTACAACCTATTCTAGATTTTCCCTCCCCTCAACCAGCACTTATGTCAGCATGGCTTGCCTAGGGGGATGACCCAGACCTTTCTTTTTTAGGGGTCTGAGCCTGTGATCATGTTGCCCCTGTTAGGCTGTAGTTATGAAATATCCCATTAATTGTTATCCCCAAGCACCATCAAAAAGCACCCCCCCATGAATCTTTCCTGCCCCATTACACAGCAGTAACTCTAGTCCCTCATGATAACTAGGGTCAGTTACCCTTTGTCAGTATGCTAACTCCTGTCTTTGCCTGCTGGTCTAATGATCTGAAGCAGGCAAATGAGCAGGCAGCAGCCACAGCTTTGGATTAAATGGAACTCTTATAGCGTCTTTTGGTGGAAAGTCTGGGGACCAGGAATATTATCCCAAGAACCTAAAGTGAAAGAGTCAGTCACAAGCAACAAAATGATGGTGAGAGGAGCCACACCTGCTTATACCCCTTGGTTCCCCAAACTGTGTAGTTTGACTGTTGGTTCAACATATATACCACATCTTGAAGGACAGCACAGAGTATCATCTACTGTCACATTTAATCAGTTGGCAGTTTATGCTGCAGTACGTAAAGACTTGTGTCCATGTGCCTATTGTCACACTCCTTTATTCTTCATATGGATCC